TGGAGGGAATGGGAAGCCCTCCTCAAATTTCTTATGAAGGAAAAAGAGAAAAAAATGAGATGGCTGAAAAAGATCAATTTCACAGAAACATGCACACACATTATCTCTCTCTCTCCTAAAAGCACCAAGTGGGTAAAAAATGCTGGAAAGGTTCACCTATTTGGGGTTCTAGTCCCGCCTCCTTCAGTTGCACCCACCCAGGTGGGATTGGGAATTTTCTTCTGTTGTCATTCATAAAAAAAGTTCCCTGTCCCAGTCTATCATTTTGCCCACATTGCAGTCAAGATTCTCAGCTTGTGGAAATCATATCAATACAGCCCTAAATTTCTACCACACCCAGATGTTTTCAACCCAGAATGTCAGGAAAGAAAAACCACTATTCCATGTATTTTAGTTTTAAAACAGATTCAAGGGAAGGAGCATCTTGATGGTTCTATCATGTTGAATCAATATGTGACCCATATGTTCTTAACTACATCAGAAAAAGAGAGGCACCATAGTCACACATAACCTACTAAATGCCTCTTCTACTAAGTACTTATCACCGAAATCAGCAAGGGCTTTGGTAGTTTCTCTGTTACTATTGTTATTTTTACACAATCCTGGGCTCCATTCGGATGAAGGGCGGGCTAGAAAAAATTAAAAATAAATAAATGCAGAGAGTGTGCTCACCAATGTGAATCAGGGTTCTTACATGGCCTCTGAGCTCAGTGGCATCAGAATCACGGTCAAGAATGGAAAGGTGAGACTTGATATGTATACTGTCCCACACCAGAAGTATGGGAGTATCTGAAGAAGTGTGCATGCACACAAAAGCTCATACCAATAACAAACTTAGCTGGTCTCCAAGGTGCTACTGGAAGGAATTTTTTTTTATTATTTTGTTTCGACCAGAATACAGTGACTCATAGCAGCAGATGGCAGGCTGAATGCTTCTGTCTGGGAACTCACTAACTACCATTGGATGGTGTGTCTATAAACCTGTGGTCTTTGCCCTTCAACAACTAATATAAACAAAAGTAGCCATTCTTAAGCACTTAATTACCCCTAGCCTTTGATGGAACAATCCCTAAACTAACTGGCTGCTGCCCTAGGGCCTACACAACTGACTACCAGACACTTTCTGGCTCCTGCCCCATTGCTATCCCACTGGTACCTATTTAAATCCCTCTAGGTCAGGCATGTCCAACATCCGTTTCGGGGGCCTAATCCGGCCCGCTGTTTCACTTAATCTGGCCCCCATGGCAGTATATATAATTTTTTTTAAAAAAGTTCAAGAACCTCAATCCTTTAAAAAGCGCAGCAACTTCAGTCGGCCCTTACGCATGTCCACTTCATCAAATCTGGCCCTCTTTGAAAAAGGTTTGGGCACCCCTGCTCTAGGCATAGGTCTGTGGCTCCAACCTTGAGCAGGACCAGGGCTTCTGAGAAGAAATCAGAGCAAGGGGAGGGAATTCAAGCCCCACTGTGCCCAAAAAAGGAATAGGTCAAAGTCAATAATTGGTATAATTGGTTTTCTTGGAAAAGGAGCATTTTAATGTTTTTTAATGGCTGAGACTGTAGATTTGGCAAGGCATGGTATTCTGCTTGCAGCTCATAAGATACAGATACCTTGGCTACAGACCAGAAAAACTAAGGTTCTAATCTCTCTGCAGCCTCAAAGTCACCAGGCCACTGATCTTCAACAGGAGTGTGAGAACCCTCTCGGAGTCACGGCTTGATCCAAAGTGGGTTGCAGCAGTAGCACTACCACCCTTCAAATATGTGTCAAAAAAAGAAAATAAGAAATGGGTCCTCAAATGCATATTTGGGTTAAAGGTGAGTCACAGATCAGAAAAGTTTGAAGAATAGGTCAGCAAGTCGCTATCTACCATTTAAAAAATGATAACAATGAGCTATCTTATAGATAGTTTTGAGGATAAAGTCACTTTCTTGGCTCCATGGTGATTTACTGTAGATGCTACTGCTATCAATCTTCTGTGCAATCCTTTTCAGTTTACACAGCCTGATGACATGAACAAAACATTTGCAGAAATTGCTTAACTGGGCTGCCATACATCTGGACACAGCTGGAATATGGCAGCGTCCTGGCAGAAATTTCTAAAATGCCCGTGAAAATCCTGACATATGGCAACCCATGTTGGAAGTCTAGATTCTGGAGAATTTCCTTAAAGATAGGTCAAAAACTTCAATATTTCTTTGAGGGGTTTTTTTTGGGGGGGGGGAGCTCAGCAAATTTTGTGTCTGTATTTTCACTTTTTGTAATATGGCAACCCTAGCCTAACTACTCAAAATATATGTTTCTCCTATTGCCTTAATATAATTGAGGGATTTTTGTGTCCATGTTAAGCAAAAGAAAGACTGAAACTAAGATGCCTCTCTTAGTTAATTTTATCACACTGCTATGGTAAGTGTGGTAGTTTATCAGTTGGCACAGAAAAATAATAGGGACCATCTTGAAATATGGAATTAATAATCATAACTACCTTATTATCTTGAATTCATTACTAAGCAATTATATGTTGTCATAAAACTAAATGTAAAAAAAGAAAGAACCCTTACAAAAAAGATAAGAGAAATCTTGGTGTGCTTTTACAAGTGTGTAGGTGTTTCTTTTCTTATACACACAGTACTTAGAATAGATAGTTAATACCCTGCTATAAGACCTTTTGAAAACGCCCCATATTCAATCTGTGTGGTAAGACAAGTTGTTCTTTCTAGCTAATGTGTAACACCCACGTAAATTCACTCAAACACAAATTTACAGGTTGCATGACTAACATAAAGTACAGTAAGGTAGAGCGGTTTTGAATTTTCTTCCAACATAAAGGAGGCATATCCTCAGTTTCAATTTTCACTGTGCTTTTGTGCCATAATTTGTTTGACAAGTTGTCATATCTCTGTATGTATTTGATTTGGAAATACTTTAACTCTGAAAAGAATTAAATGATAAAATTCTGTAAATCTATCACACATATTTAAAAATAAAACAGACATCCTCCCCATGAATACTATCATAAAATAAACAGTAGGGTGTCGCTGAAGCTTTAGAAGGGTTCAAAGTAACTACACTGTTTCAACAGATTTTGAACAAAATTCAGGTCATATTTGTAAGCCTGAATGTTGGTTGGTGGAAGCCAGTGTCACTCGCTGGTATGAGGAAGATTGGATTGAGATGATCTAAGATGACTCCATCTGAGTTTGTCTTGCTTCTCTCATATATCCAGATAACAATTGTTGCAAGTTTGTGAGAAGACCCCCTAAACCCAATAAATGAACGCATGTCAGAATCTAATTAATATTTGGAGTACAGAAGGAAAGATTCTGGTAGATGAAGGGAACGCAGTGGATGTAGCCTACCTTGATTTCAGCAAGGCATTTGACAAGGTGCCCCATGATATTCTTGTAAAGAAGCTGGTAAAATGTGGCCTTGACTATGCTACCACTCAGTGGATTTGTAACTGGCTGACTGACCGAACCCAAAGGGTGCTCATCAATGGTTCCTCTTCATCCTGGAGAAGAGTGACTAGTGGGGTGCCACAGGGTTCTGTCTTGGGCCCGGTCTTATTCAACATCTTTATCAACGACTTGGATGATGGACTCAAGGGCATCCTGATCAAATTTGCAGATGACACCAAACTGGGAGGGGTGGCTAACACCCCAGAGGACAGGATCACACTTCAAAACGACCTTGACAGATTAGAGAACTGGGCCAAAACAAACAAGATGAATTTTAACAGGGAGAAATGTAAAGTATTGCACTTGGGCAAAAAATGAGAGGCACAAATACAAGATGGGTGACACCTGGCTTGAGAGCAGTACATGTGAAAAGGATCTAGGAGTCTTGGTTGACCACAAACTTGACATGAGCCAACAGTGTGACGCGGCAGCTAAAAAAGCCAATGCAATTCTGGGCCTCATCAATAGGAGTATAGCATCTAGATCAAGGGAAGTAATAGTGCCACTGTATTCTGCCCTGGTCAGACCTCACCTGGAGTACTGTGTCCAGTTCTGGGCACCACAGTTCAAGAAGGACACTGACAAACTGGAACGTGTCCAGAGGAGGGCAGCCAAAATGGTCAAAGGCCTGGAAACGATGCCTTATGAGGAACGGCTAAGGGAGCTGGGCATGTTTAGCCTGGAGAAGAGGAGGTTAAGGGGTGATATGATAGCCATGTTCAAATATATAAAAGGATGTCACATAGAGGAGGGAGAAAGGTTGTTTTCTGCTGCTCCAGAGAAGCGGACACGGAGCAATGGATCCAAACTACAAGAAAGAAGATTCCACCTAAACATTAGGAAGAACTTCCTGACAGTAAGAGCTGTTTGACAGTGGAATTTGCTGCCAAGGAGTGTGGTGGAGTCTCCTTCTTTGGAGGTCTTTAAGCAGAGGCTTGACAACCATATGTCAGGAGTGCTCTGATGGTGTTTCCTGCTTGGCAGGGGGTTGGACTCGATGGCCCTTGTGGTCTCTTCCAGCTCTATGATTCTATGATTCTATGATTCCAGGCCAGTGGAAAATTACAGGCTGAGCTTCCTGTATCGGAAGAGGCAGTGCCAGGACAAGGTGTTGATGACCCACATCGAAGAGGAATCTTGCATGCTACAACCTACAAAACCTTGCCCACCTTTGATTTCCCCATCATTGCCAATATCCTAAATTATCTATGGCTTGCCTTTCTATGTTTACAGACAGTGGTTTACATCCAAAAGACTAGCCACCTCAAGAACCACATTCTGCAGTCACAGTCCCAAAACTATAGGTGATCTACAGTTTACATTATATTGCATGCTGTTTTCTTCTTACATTATATTCATTATATTCATTCAGGCATCAGTTGAAGGTTCATTTAGTTTTGCAGGCATTTGGAGCATAGCAGGAGTGGCCCTACTTGTCTAACTGTCTGAAACACCTTTTATTCCTGTGTCGTGAATATCACTGATTGCCATATGCTATTGCTATTATATTTATTGTAAATGGTGAATTTCATTTTATTTTTATGCTATGTTTTATGAATGTTGTTAACCACCCTGGGCTCTGTTTGAGGAAAGGTGAGATACCAAAAATAACAAGACCAATAACAAGAGAGAGATAACACAGATAGTGCAGGGTAGATACAAATGTTATTTTGGTGTCACAGAGGAAAACACCGTCAGTGTTTTCAGCGCCGTGGATTTCAGGATATTCTGGAGGTTGGAGCAAAGCCATTTCTAAGATGTTTCCATCAGAATGTCAATCAGGTAAGTTTTTCTTTAACAGTAAGCAAATAATATACAGTGTAACTCAGGTTACATACGCTTCAGGTTACAGACCACTACCTCGGGTTAAGAACTTTGCTTCAGGATGGGGACAGAAATCATGCAGCAGCAGCATGGCAGCAGCAGGAGGCCCCATTAGCTAAAGTGATGCTTCAGGTTAAGAACAGTTTCAGGTTAAGAACGGACCTCCGGAACGAATTAAGTTCTTAACCTGAGGTACCACTGTAGTACATTAAGTGAAGAGATTAAAAGAAAATCATTAGGATGTAACAGTGCTTATCCATCCACCCCCCCAAAAAAAAATTCATCCAGCATACCAGTTAAGAGCATAAAGTAAAATATAAGACAAACCCAAATCTTCCCCAATATGCTGGTATTATAAAACCATTATTTTATGTAAATGTGGGTGAATATAGTGAAGTTCTAAGTACCTTGTGAATTTCAACAGCAGCTGTCCGGACACCTCTACCTATTTCTGGAGAGTTACCACCTGGGTTCAGTAATGTCACGTATTAAATTCTAAAAGTCCACTGACTACTAAAAACCCCTCGACACCATAGCATCTTTAAAACCCCTGTGAAGCAAACACACTTTATGTACACACCACTAGATGTCTCTAGCTGCATTTATTATAAAGAAACTGGTCGGGCGACTACATACAGCTATAATTTTAAAATATAATACCTGGTCTGATTCTGAACTGGGTTAGACAAACTGCCCCCAGTTGTCTAGTTAGCTCTACAACATGTGACACTGTCAACTGTCATTTGACAATGCAACTAGGTATCAACCTCTTCCCTATCCTGTAGGCAAGGTCTCTCTGACTTCCTCATCCATTTTAAGAGATGACTGTGCTACCTGTTATTGTTTGCTCCTGTCCCCTCCTCACCAAGGAGGAGAGAGGAGGAAGGTGGAGTGGAGGGAAGTCATCAGTATTCTAGCCAGGTAAGCATTGGGATGAGTGGGAGCAAAAGGTCTTAGCTAGCTTGGACTGTAATCTGAGCCAGGCAGAGAAAAATTATGGAGGCAGAGGAAGAGATGGGCAAAGGCTGAATACTGGCATTCTTCACAACAGCAATAGGAAACCTATGGTCACTAGATGATGTTGGACTACAACTCCCATTGTGGTGTTGCTGTTCTTAATAATTTATTCTCCACCTTTTCCCCTGAAAAATGCACCTTGCAAATAAAAACAAGAACCACTAAAACCATAGAAAAAATAAATCATTAAAAACAATTAAACACTGACAGAATTAAAGTTCTGTATAAAAATCTGTTTAAAACATACCAATAATTAAAATTAAATTAAATTAAAAAAGCATGGCACCAGCCCTTTAACCAAAAGCAATCAATTCCCCAAAGCCTGTTGAAACAAGGAAGTCTTCACCTGCCGGCAGAAGCGGAGCCAAGAGGGAGCCAGTCTAGCTTCTCTGGTGAGGAAGTTCCAGAGTCTGCATCCCCACCAAGCATGCCTGGGAGGAAGGCGGGACCACGAGAAGGGCCTGCCTCGAAGATCTCAAAACCCAGGAGGTTCACAGGAGGGAATATGGTCTTTCAGATAGCTTGGACCTAAGCCATGTAGGGCTTCCTTACAGCAGCAGTTTGCACTGTGCCTGGAAACAGACCAACAGCCAGCAGAGGAGTTCTAGCTGTTTTAGAATGGCTTAACTGTTTTTAACAGGTTAAGAACTTACCGTATTTTTCGCTCCATAAGATGCACCTGACCATAAGACGCACCTAGTTTTTGGAGGGGGAATGCAAGGAAAAAAATATTCTTTAAAGAGAGCGCATCCCAGGCTCTGCTCAGCGCTCCCTTTCACGAGCCGTGTGGAGCGTGTGTGCAGCGCTTGCAGGCTTTTCCCCAAGAGCTGCACACACGCTCCGCGCGGCTCTTGCCAGCATTTGCAGGAGGTGGGGGGGGACTGAGTGGCTGCCCTCTGTCCTTCCCCTACCTCCCACAAAAGTCAGCAAGAGCCGTGCGCTCTTTAAAGGGAGCGTGACTCTTGGGGGCTTTTCTGGGAGGTGAGGAGAGGGACAGAGCCGCACGCTCTGTGCCTTCCCCCACCTCCCGCAAGCGCCTTGCGCTCTTTAAAGGGAGCGCGGCTCTTGCTGGATTTTGCGGGAGGTGGGGGAAGGGACAGAGGGCGTGGGATAGCCGCGTACAGCCTCTCCTGGCCAGCTGGAGGAAGGCTCCCCCAAGAGCCGCACTCCCTTTAAAGAGCGCACAGGGAAAGAGCGCACGGGGGGGAAGCCCCCAAGAACCGCACACATGCTCCACGTGGCTCTTTAAAGGGAGCTCTGAGCAGAGCCTCCCGCCTGCATTCGCTCCATAAGATGCACACACATTTCCCCTTACTTTTTAGAAGGGGGAAAGTGCGTCTTATAGAGTGAAAAATATGGTAATTCGTTCCGGAGGTCCGTTCTTAACCTGAATGTTCTTAACCTGAAGCACCACTTTAGCTAATGGTGCCTCACGCTGCCACCACGCCACTGCTGCACGATTTCTGTTCTCATCCTGAAGCAAAGTTCTTAATCCAAGGTACTATTTCTGGGTTAGTGGAGTCTGTAACCAAAAGCATCTGTAACCCAAGGTACCACTGTATTTTTAAAAGTTGCTATATTGTGGATATGCTTGCTGCCCTGGGCTCCTTTGGGTGGCAGAGTGGGATAAAACTGGGTGGATATACAAATAATCCCTAAGCACTGACCCTGCTGGGTTAGGGCAACAGCAACAGGGAAACTGAGGCATCTCTCTCACACACAGTTTAGCTGTCCACATCCACCTTCTACCACCCACTGGTTCCTTTGCAGCAAAACACACACACATTCCATGCTCTCTATGGAGGCTGCATCGAGACCCAAAGTAGGCAGCGCTTTTCTTCCAGAAAAAAGGTATTGGTACCCTTGAGCACTCCCAGAAAAAAAGCTCTGGATGTAAGTAGGGTGGGAAGGGATTTGCCTGAGCCTCGTGCAACTGAGACCAGATGGGATTGAGGTGCCGGTGTTGCATGAACAAAATGGGGTGAGCAAAGGCTGTGGGTGAGCTGGACTGAGCATTTCACATTGCTAATCTTTCCTCCTAACCAAGATTCCTAGAAAGGAAGGGAATTTGGAAGGTGGGGGGAAGCTGGGTCAGACTGCAAGTCCAAAGGCTGCTTCCTGGCCTGCCTTCTCCGTTGGGTGGATGCTTTGCTTTGCTCTTTCCAAAAGGTTGTTGACAACTGTGGATGAACTAAAGTCCATTGTGTGGGTAGGCTTTCTGACGTGTGTGGTGCTGTTTGGCTGGGTGCCACCTATTGCCACACCCCCTAGTTCAATTTTGTTTCCATCAACCCAAAGGAAAGGATGCAACCTAAACTTCCCCAGCAGTTGTTTTGGTTCATGTATTTTTATTTGTAAAATAGCTCTAATGCAAATAAAGCATCTGTATAAAATCTGCCCTTGCAGAGGGAACACTACAAAAATCGTTCTGACAGTCATTTTAGGTAAAGTAAATATTATACCACAACATATATTCTTCATAAATCTAGTCAACTTTGGTGGCTCCCTACTGGGGTTCTTTCCTCTCAGGAAGGACCCCTGGACAGTTAAGTCCAGTGAAAGGCGACTATTGAGGCTGTGGTGCTCATCTCGCTTTTCAGGCCAAGAGAACCGGTGTTTGTTCACAGACAGCTTTCTGGGTCATGCGGCCAGCCGGACTAAACTGCTTCTGGTGCACAGAACATCGTGACAGAAGCCAGAGCACATGGAAACACCATTTACCTTCCCAATGCAGCAGTACCTATTTATCTACTTGCACTGGCATGCTTTCTAACTGCTAGGTTGGCAGGAGCTGGGACAGAGCAACAGGAGCTCACCACTGTTGTGCAGCACATGACTTTTGGGAGAAAAATAAGAGAGACTTTTAATCTGGACAGCCAGATAGTTCCAAGACAACAAAAAGAAGCAGCAGAACTCCTGGAAGGAGCAGTGGGAGGTGTAGATAGCCAAATAGGAAAATTAACAAAATCTCCAAATGGCAAACCTTAAAATTAGTTGTAATGTAAATGGGCTTAACAGCAAGGCCAAGAGAAATAGAATTGAGCATGTAATTATCAAACAGAACTTTGACATAATTTGTTTACAGGAGACACACATTTCAAAAAGAAAAAGAAAAAAAAGAAACCCAAATTAGGTTTGGACTTATAGCAGCAGATGATACCAAGAGAAGGGTGTGTGTGGTATTTTATATAAAACCTGCACTTAAACAAAAACTGATTAAAAAAGATGAGAAAGGAAGAATATTAATAGTACAAATTAAAGGAAAAGGATAGACTCTCATCTATGCACCAAATGAGAATAAATTGGATTATTAAATGAGAATAAATGAGAATAAATCGGATTATTAAATCGTTACAGTTGGATAGGACAGTTAGAAAAAAGGAAACAAAAGAAGGTAGATTGCCAAAGGCCTTTTTTGAAATGGTAGAAACTCTTAAATTGGTTGACATATGGAGAATAAGACATTTGTTTGACAAACAGTTCACTTTTTATTCCAATGTGAATGAAAGCAGTGCCAGGACAGACACTATTTGGATGACAAAGGAGATGGAATTGAGAGTTTAAAAAATAGAAACAGAACCCAGAACTTTCTCAGATCATAATGCCATTGTAATGGAATTAAAAGAGAAAGTCAAACATCATTTAGAGGGAAACTAAATGAAGACATGTTAGAGGACCAATCTTTTGTGGATAAAGCAAGGAAAACTCTGGGAGACTATTTTGAGTTAAATCTGAATAAGGAGGTTTCATTGCAAATAGTATGGGACACCAGCAAGGTGGTTATGAGAGGGCAGTTTGTCCCACAAAATTCAATAAAAAAGAAAGGGTGGGGGGAGAAAAGAGAAATTTTAGATGCAATTCTGGAAAAAGAGAAAGAATTAGCAAAAAAAAAAAAAAACCTAACAAAGAAACAGTAAAACAGGCAATTAGGTCATTGGAAACACAATATTTAATGGTTATTAATATAGAAATAGAATGGAAAATTAAAAGATGCAAACAAAAATATTTCAAGCATGCCAATAAGTCAGGAAAATTATTGGCATGGCAAATAAGGAAAAATGAGTAAAAAAATTATATCAACAAAATAAAGGCAAATGGCAAGATAACAGAAAAACCAAAAGAAATTAGGGAAGCCTTTGTCAAGTATTTTACTGAGTTATATAAAAAGGGAACAGAAAAGATACCAAAGATAGAGGAATGTCTTAAAAAGAGTAATTTACCAAAAATGAAAACAGATAAGTTAGCAGTATTAAAGAAGAAATAACAGGATAAGAAGTCTTAAAAGCAGTAAGTCAAGCAAAAGTAGGGAAATTGCATGGACCGGATGGGCTATCAGCTAAGTATTACAAGAAACTGAGTAAACAGCTTGTGAACCCTCTAAAAGATCTGATGAAATTCTAAAAATAGTGAACCACCGACCTTCCGATCGGCAAGCCCAAGAGGCTCTGTGGTTTAGACCACAGCACCACCTGTGTCCCTTTTATCTAGTAATTAAAAATCACACCTGATTTCAAACTTCAGTTCATTGGTGCCCCATTTATATCCAATAGTTCCTGCCCCCTAGCCTTCTTTGATCTATGCAGGACTTCATAAATATATCAGAAAGATCAGAAAAACAGAGCGTTATCATCTTAGCCTGTATTGATCATTGCCTGAGCAGGGCACCCATTCTGTTCCCCGGACTGTCCAAATGATTACTCAGGACACATAGCTTGGGTCACAACTTTTATAAATTATAGATGAAGAGTTTGGCAAGGGAAAATAGTTTGACCATCAGCCCACTTGCTGAGCTATACCGTTTTGGGGTCAACCCAAGGCAAAGAAGACCTAATGGCAAACATCGAGTAGGTGCCCCATTACAACAACAACAAAGTATTTCTTACTTTAGAAATTAGCTTTGGAAAAGCAAGACTATGCAATACTGCAATGATGAAACATTGAAGTCTGCCTGCCTTTGAAAATTATTGGGCATAACATTTCCTGAGAGGAGAAAGTTATTAGCCTAGCATTTTGTGTTCTCCCAATTTTGCTTCTGATTTCAGTAATTTCCATTAAAGCTATAATAAATTTGAATCAACTAGCAGAAAGCCCTTTAAGCATAATCAAGACAATTTTCCAAGGTACAGAGAAATACTTCATTATTCTTCTAAGAATTATTTTCAAAGAAATGATTGCTGTTTCAATAAACATGTATAAAATAGCCCAGGTAGCATGTCCTCTCCCCATTCACTGAGGTGATCTTGGCTTTGGGAAAGGAAGGCAAATTTGCTTTGCTTACTAACCTCCTTTGTACATACCACTCTTAGGTCAGCATTGTTAGCATCAATCTTTGTGCTGCTGCAAAGATGGAATTATGTGAAACAGAAAGGCAGTACGAGACCACATGAACGGGTGACCCATTAATGAAAGACCCATTAGGTGGTGCTGTTTTTCAAAAAGTGCCCAGAAACTTCAGCTGGTGCAGAAAGTAGCAACTATTGAAAAAGACAGAGAGAGAGAGAGAGAGAGAGAGAGAGAGAGAGAGAGAATGAACCACATTCAGAAGTGACTCCACTTTTGCATTTCTAGGTCCAATTCAAAGTGCGAGCCCTAAGTGAAGCCAGACCAGGATACCTAAGGAACCATCTCTGCCAATATCTGAGCTGTATTTGGTGGGCAAGTGAGAAGGGATGCTTGAGGAATGAATTATTTGTGAATGCTGATAAAAACTAAACTGATGCACATCTTCCAGAATAATCTGTAAACTGGAATGCAGCAATCCTTTAGATTCCGCACTTCTCTAAATTTTATGATTTAGCCCTTAGCTCAAAAAAGGGAACAAATGTGGATAAAAAGGTGTGTTTTAGAATAAAATACAATTAGAAAGGCATACTTTTGAGAGAAATACACGGGGAAATGGTTATATTGTGAGGAAAAAATTGCCATTAAAAAAATTTAAATACGTACATTTTTGAGCATTTTTTAAAAATGCAGATTTATGCAGAAATTAGAAGAAATTTATGAATGCATGTGAAACTGGCATGGACCAGAGACTGACCCAAGCATTCCTAAATGTGGCTGTTCTGTCTCTCCATCAAGGAGCACCCACCTTGCCCCCTTTTTGATGGTTTCCCGTGGTCTTAGCTTAACAAGATAGGTGTTTCACATATCACTTTGATTATTGTTTTTAATTGACTTCCTGGAAAATTATCTTGTTTCAACGGCATTTCTTTCTGCTTTGTTCCAGTCATATAGATGTGATGCTTTCTTTACTGTTTTAAAATAAATTGTGAGCTGCCTTGAGCATTTAAGAACATGGGATATAAATATCAATAAATGAAACGTATTCATAATATACAATGTAGTTTTTAGAATTATCAGTTAAGTTTGCCTATTTCTTAACATTTATTTCCTTAAGAAGTAACTTCATTTTCCAAATACCTTAGTTGTGAAATGGCAGACTATTAAATATCCCAGTCTTCTAGGATGAGCAAAGTTGTGCAGCAAGACAATTTGGGGGAAAGCCAGAGCTCACTAATAGAACACTTGCTTTGCATGTATAATGAACAGGCTCAATTTCTGGCCTCTCCAGGGTGGGCTGGCAAAGAGTCCTGTCTCAGGCGCTGGTGTCCTGAGTCCCACCCCAAACTCAATGGCAAGTGCACTTCCTTATAAGTAAGGAAGTGATACTTTATTAAAGCAGGTTATTGGTACACGTTCAGCAGCATGAAAAAAAGCAAATACAGTTCAAGGGTGTTTACAAGGCAAAGGGTTAATAGGACTAAGGACCAGGGCTCTTGAATCCACAATCAGTAACAAAAAATTCAAGGGTGCGTAGCATCTGCGAAGCTGTTCAGACAAGTGCCCCTCGCCTACTCACCAAGCTTTTAGAAAGAGGCTGAAAATGTGTAATTACATGCAAAAATGTGTGTCCCTACAGGAAGTCCTGGCCTGAAGATGGGCACTACATCTAGTGGGATGTCTCTTCTCTTCTCTTTTGATGTGGCACCTCTCCCTGGGAAACACTGGACCCGCCACCTCTGAATCATCCCACCCTGTCACATCAGGCTACACCCTGGAACTCACTGAAAATGAAGCCTCCATGTGCAAGGAAAGGAAGCCTCTAAGACTCCTGCTTCAAACAGCAGAGCCAGACGTCTCTGGAAGTAGAGGGGCCCTCCATCAACCATTGTCTCCCCCCTCTCACCCTCTTCCTGCCCCCTTCCCCAAGTGAAGAAGTGGAGAATCTCTTTTGCTCCACAGGCCAGGCTCATGCATCACCTGAAAATAACACTGTTTTCTCCTGCTGGTGTTAGTGTTCTTTCATTAGACAGTAGATTTTATGCTTCAGCAAGCAAAGTAATGCAGTGCTTTAATAGTATTCCTGTTTATGATGTGAGTCTCATAAATTAACTAACTAGTGATATAAACATAAGTATTAAACAGTTAGCTGAAGGAAAAATGTTTATGGCTGCTGTCAAATGAGAGATTCATTATGATGTTAGGATGCTCAACCCACCTGATCCCATCCTATGTGACTCACAGAAGAATCAGACTAATGTGCAGGGAATGAAACAAGACTGCTGAGACCTCAGCCAGTCGCCAGCAGAATGTTTCAAGGCCATCTTTACATTTATGCATCTCATATGGTGAAGCAATACATATTTGTGTATACTGGAATGCAATAGTATACTGAAAGAAGTGTGAGTGCCTAAGAACACAAGAAGAGCCAGGTGGGTCAGGCCAATTGCCCATCTAATTCAGTATCCTGATCTCGCAGGGGCTGACCAATGCCTGTGAGAAACCCGCGAGCAGGATTTGAGCACAAGAGCCACTCTTCCCTCCTGAGGTTTCCAGCAACTAGGATTCAGAAGCAATACGGTCTCCAGCTGTGGAGTCAGAGCACAACCATCCTGGCGAGGAGCCATCAATGAACATTTCCTTCATGAATTTGTATAATCCACTTGGTAAAGCTGTCTCCTAAACTATGTTTAACTATGCAGTGAGTGATCCTTTTATGTCCTGAATCTTCCACCATTCAGTTTCATTGGATGTCCACAAGTTCTAGACTAGAAAGAGCTGTAGCTAAGGACTGACAAGGACTGCCGTTGCTGCCCAGGAGGACTCCCCTGCTTGAGTGCCTGAGGGCCCTGCTCCTGCCACTCACCACCTGGCCCAGGGCGGGGCCTGACAGGCCTCATAAGGACGGTTGCTGTTACTGCTGCTCCTGTCCAGGAGGACTCGGAGGGGCGAAGAGTTCTTTTTAAAATGTTTTAAAATTTTCTTTTTCCCTTTTGATTTTTTTGTATGGGGGGGGATGGATGTTTGGTTGGGCCTGGGAATTTGTTTGATTTTGGTGTTTTGTAATTTTTACAGTTTTTTGTTTGTATTGTTTTATTGTTTTATTTTTTATTTTAAAGTTTTATTTTGTTCTTAAGGGGAGGGGTCAGGGCTGCCGGGGAGTGGGTCCCAGCCAACAAAATGGCTGGGGCATGTTCCACAGGGGGGGATGCACTGGGACAACTGATCTCAGTGATCACGGGTAGGAGGAGGAGTTACGCTAAGACCAGACCATGTCATTACAGAGGAGGCAGGTTTAGTCGTTGTCTGAGGACTATCCCTGCCTCCGGGTCTGGTCCTGACAGGACGGATACTATAATCAGCAAGGGATACCCACATGACCTGAAGGTGCTGCTGTGCAATGCTAGGTCAATGATTCATAAGACCACTGCCATCCATGACTTGATCATGGATGGAGGACTTGACCTGGCATGCGTGACAGAGACTTGGTTGGATGAAGCAGATGGGCCTGTCCTTGCCGCTGCTTGTCCACCAGGTTTCTCTTACGCACAGCAACCCAGGCCTTGTGGGCGGGGAGGGGGGTTGCAGTGATTTTTAGGAAGTCACTAGCTTGCATCAGGTGCCCTACTGGGAAGACCCAGTTTTCTGAGTGCATGTTCTGGAAGCTGGGCAATAAGAGCAGTACAGGATTCCTTCTGGTGTACTGACCTCCCCGCTGCACCAAGGATTCCCTGCCCGAGCTGCTTCAGGTTGTGGCGGATGTTCTCCTGGAGATACCTAGTTTGGTTGTGCTAGGGAATTTTAACATGCATGCCAACACAACCTTACAAGGGGCCGCTCTGGACTTCATGGAAAGCATGGCCTACATGGGGCTGTCCCTGAATAGGTTTGGCCAAACCCATAGACGTGGACATGCCTTGGACCTGGTGTTTACCTCTATGGGTGTTGGTGATCTGACATTAAGTAAAAGCAAAACGAAAGAAGTGCCATGGTCAGATCACTTCCTGGTGCAAGTGGACTTCTCTGCGACCCTTCCCCTCTGCAGGGAGGTGGGACCGATTCAGATGGTCCGCCCCTGCCACTTAATGGATCCAAATGGTTTCCAGAGAGTGGTAGGGGATGCTTTATCCCATGTTGATGACCTTTCAGCTGATTCCCTGGTGGCCCGCTGGAATGTGGAGTTAACCAGGCCTATGGACTGTTTGCTCCGAAGCGCCCTCTCCGATTGCATGGAGCCTGGACACCCCCATGGTTTTCCACGGATCTGAGGGCAATGAAACAATCGCTGAGACGGCTAGAGCGCCTGTGGTGGATAACTCATTCTGAAGCTGACCGGACACGGGTTAGAGCTCAATGTCGAGCCTACCAAGTGGCAGTAGTGACGGCAAAGAAGACTTTCTTCACCGCCTCTATTGCATCTGCAGAAAACAGAAGCAGGAGACTTTTTCAGATGGTTGGCAATTTAGCGGAACCACCTGCTACATCGGGGCCCAGTACGGGCCACATGATCTCCTGCAATGATTTTGCAAAGCTTTTTGCAGATAAAGTCACTCAGATTAGGGAAGAGGTAGACTCCACTGTGGGAGCAGGGCTGGGGCGGGAGAGTGCTAGAGTCCTGTCTAGTCAAGTTGTGTGGGATCAATTCCAATCTGTTACTTCCGAGGATGTGGACAGGCTGCTTGGATGAGTGAAACCAACTACCTATCTCCTTTATCCTTACCCATCCTGGCTTATAAAAGCTAGCCAGGAAAGGCTGGGCGATGGGCTTCACGGGGTGGTGAATGCTTCTCTCTGTAGGGAGCCTTCCCAGACCCGCTAAAAGAGGCGGTTATCAAACCGCTTCTTAAAAAAACATCTTTAGATGCTGCCAATATGGCCAACTATCGCCCAGTCTCAAATCTTCCATTTTTGGGCAAGGTGATTGAGCAAGTGGTGGCCTCATCATGGGACTGAAATTGCCTTGGTCGCACTGGTCGATGATCTCCAGTGGGCTAGGGACAAAGGTGAGTGCTGTTTCCTAGTTCTGCTGGATCTCTCAGCGGCTTTTGACACCATCAACCATAACATCCTTCTGGACCGTCTAGATGGGCTAGGAGCTGGGGGCACTGTTATACAGTGGTTCCGCTCCTTCCTCCTGGACCTTGTTCAGAAAGTGGTGGTAGGGGATGAGTGTTCAGACCCCTAGGCTCTCACTTGTGGGGTGCCTCAGGGTTCTGTCCTCTCCCCCATGCTTTTCAACATCTACATGCAGCCTCTGGGAGAGATCATTAGGAGGTTTGGACTGGGTGTATGCGGATGATACCCAACTCTATCTCTCTTTCAAATCAGAACCAGTGAAGGCGGGGAAGGTCCTGTGTGAGTGTCTGGAGGCAGTTGGAGGATGGATGGCGGCTAACAAATTGGGGTTGAATCCTGACAAGACATAAGTATTGTTTTTGAGAGACATTCTGGACTCACAGCTGTCCATGGAGGCACAGGTCAATTCTGTATCCAGGGCAGCTGTTTATCAGCTCCATCTGGTACGCAGGCTGAGACCCTACCTGCCCGTGGACTGTCTCGCCAGAGTGGTGCATGCTCTAGTTATCTCCCGCTTGGACTACTGAAATGCGCTCTACGTGGGGCTACCTTTGAAGGTGACCCGGAAACTACAATTAATCCAGAATGCGGCAGCTAGACTGGTGACTGGGAGCGGCTGCCGAGACCATATAACCCCGGTCTTGAAAGACCTACACTGGCTTCCAGTACGTTTCCGAGCACAATTCAAAGTGTTGGTGCTGACCTTTAAAGCCCTAAACGGCCTCGTCAAATGGCCGTCAAAGAGAAAAATAACTACCAAACTTTTAGAAGACATCTAAAGGCAGCCCTGTTTAGGGAAGCTTTTAATGTTTAATAGGTTATTGTATTTTAGTGTTTTGTTGGAAGCCTCCCAGAATGGCTGGGGAAACCCAGCCAGATGGGCGGGGTATAAATAATAAATTATTATTATTATATTATATAGCTAAGCAATGATTAAATGACAGAAATTATATTAAACCTATGAAATGAACATGCAGCTGAAAAAGAACAGCTGTATGAAACAGATAAAACTACAAGTGGGTGGGGAATGAAAATTTGAGAATAGAGATTGACAGATAGAAAGCAACTTGCAGGCCTCTTTCTCCACCTCTGCTTTCTTCATCTCCACAGCTTAGACTCTTCTATGAGTTTTTCACATACACATCATTCTAATTATGTTGGGTGTTCATATTAATTAGCCACTCACATAATAGCTTTTAATTGTTATACAAACATATAGCAGCTGTAATCTCAAACTCTAATTAGAAATAAACTTCATCAAATTTAGTCATACCTCACTGCTTTGTTTGGTTTATTCATTTAAGTCAACTCAATTTCATAGTAATTACATCTCTAAAGACTGTCTTCTAGCTTACAGAATCCAATAATTCATGAAATAAATAATAAAGGATGGTACTAAATGAGTTTAGACCTACACAAAATTTATTAACATTGGGGAAATGAACATTCATACTTGAACAATTTGGATCATTGTATATTCTAGCCTAGCACTAGGATAAACCAGAAAAAGCACAATTCAATGGTGCAAAAATGGTCCATAAGTATTTGTTAATGAAATGCCACAACTAAATTCTTGTTTCTGACTGGAAATGAGTGAAAAATATGTATACAGAAATTCTAAACATTATAGCAGTGTGACTGTCTGCCGGCAGGAAACTATGGCCAGTGACTTCCAAATAAGCTCAACTTTTAGGCATTTTCATATCCTAGCTTGCTTAGAAGCCATTCAAAATAGCTTCCTGTATTGCACACACTCATGAGAACTGAGGAACAAAGGGACTGTAGGCAGGTTTACAAAGCCAGGATTTGTTCAGTCTGATGTTGCATAAATTAAATGAATTAAAATCAAAGTTGAATACAATTACACTTAACTATGTGTTTTTCCCTTTGTGTATTGATTTTTTTCTCCCCCAGTTTATTGCAGAGTGCTTGTATAGCGTTAGTATTATAATGAGTGCCATTTTGAAGTGTTTAACAATTCTTGCTAGATTGGTAACTTTTATGTTCTTGAGTTTCACTTTTTAGAACCCATTTTCTCTTCAGCATGTGCCCCTCCACCAATTTTATTTTATTTTTGAAGGTTGGCAATAAAGTTTTGCCATCTTTGGTAATAAAGTTACCTATCACCTCCTACTGTTGCATGGAAGAAGGAATAGTCAGTTAGAGTGAAGAATAGTTGAACACTTAGAATAAGTACCAAGGGAACATTTGGAAATGTCCAAAAATAATAATGGACTTGGAGAACAGCTAGGGTGGATCCACAAGGCAGCTACAAAAAGCAAAAACCATTCTTGTTTCTTCATTGTAAATACCCCCCCCCCCCCCGAGAATATAAAGCGACATACAAATGAAAGGAATCATCATCATCATCACTGCTGCATGCAACTGAAAGCAGTGCAGGGAGGTGTCCTTACTATAAGAACATGTTCCTCTTCTGTCCAAACACACACACCCATATCTCCTGCAGGTGCACAACTTGTACTGGTTCTGCAGGCAATAGGACAAGCTAAAGCTGTTGGAGGAACGGGACATGGAGGAAGGGGTTAATTTATATCATGGGCACAAATCACCCCAAGTATGCAATAAGCAATAGGTGCAAGGTCAGCCAAGCCAGTTGTTATGGTAATGGACCAGTGCAGACTATATTAGTAATTTTGGCATGTTAGCTCAGTCATGTTAGCACAGTCAGCAGCTCTGTCCATGAGTTGGAGTCTCTGTTACATCTTGAATTGCTGGAGCAACAGAAATAAAAACAATAGTGTATCTGTATCTGCAATGCCTACAAGCTGTATGCATATACAGTGGTACCTCAGGTTACATACGCTTCAGGCTACATATGCTTCAGGTTACAGACTCCACTAACCCAGAAATAGTGCTTCCGGTTAAGAACTTTGCTTCAGGATAAGAACAGAAATCAGGCTCCGGCGGCGCGGTGGCAGCAGGAGGCCCCATTAGCTAAAGTGGTGCTTCAGGTTAAGAACAGTTTCAGGTTAAGAACGGACCTTCGGAATGAATTAAGTACTTAACCTGAGGTACCACTGTATCCATGTCTAGATCTGTATTACTGAATCCTGATCGTCTACAGCAGTAAAGTATTTTGGACCTTATGTTGTCTCAATGTGGTGACTGGAACTGGGGGCAACTTTTGCTGCATGGGTATCTCACCTCAGATTCCTCAGAAGTAGGTTATATGGACTGCACAGCAGATCACATAAACACACCCTACCCACCAAACCGTTGTAACATTTAGTTCTATCTAAGATCTTTGCTAGGACACGAAATTGTTCTATAGGGTAGTTTATGATGGTATCTACCAAATGATCATAGGAAGGAGGCAATTTTTGGCAGTTCCATCTCTTCTCTGCAGCCCTGTTGGCTCTCCTTCCATCTGCCCTAAGGGCTGAGAGACTTTCTAGAGCTGGTTTAGAAGGCCCAAGTGGAGAGGGAGTCTTGCTAAAAATTGCCTCCCTGTCCTCGATGGATTTCTTCTGTCAGTTGACAGGCACCACCAGTATTCTTTGTTAGGATCAGCAACCATGGAGACTTCACCATATTACTGTCCAGCTCTGAACAGGAGTAAGTAGAGCATAACTCTTTCACTTCAGCAATACCCAATAGTGAATGAATATGCAGCCTCTCAGATTCCAAACAAAACTATATAGGGCTGAATAGAAAATGAATCCATTGCCATATGAAGAAAATGTGGTGCTGGTTTTACTATTTTTATTAACAGAAAACACTGGAACTGATTTTTTTAGAAATTTGCCAGTGACGTTGGTTAACAGTCTCAGCATTTTAGATGCTATGAACTCCAGGAAATAAGTATAATCTCACTCTATTTTTTCCCCCTTACGCTGTGTGATCTGAGCAGAGGCTTGCTCATTTTTAAATACTTCTAAGAGATTAGAAATTTGATCAAGCTATTAGACTATGATCCACATAGACTGGAAGTGTTTCCCATCAACAGTATAGGTTTTAAAAATTAGAAGCTGTATTTAATTGTTTCAAACAGTTTAAAGTTAACTATGTTAGATCAGTGAGAGGCAGTGAGAGATTTCACTTTCTTGGGCTCCATGATCACTGCAGATGGTGACAGCAGCCACAAGATTAAAAGATGCCTGCTTCTTGGGAGAAAAGCGATGACAAACCTAGACAGCATCTTAAAAAGCAGAGACAAAGTCCGTATAGTCAGCCCCCATCTCCAAACCAAACAGAACTCCATCTCTCCAAATCTGACTTTTTCCAGGTTCATTCGTCAAATCCAATGACTCATGTTCCTGCTGGGCCACAGCTCCCTCCATCTCTGCCACCCGGGGTCCAGCAACAGCCTCCTCCTTCATCTCATCTGTCAAAGCACATTCCTGGATTAATTCCTGAGTGGGTTCTATATAGGTACCCACTGCCTGTCCAAAATTTCTGATCGCAACAGTCATCAAATCCATCTTCTCATGTAACTGTTCCAATAAAGCACTTGTCTTGCAAAGGCAAGCACCAGAGCCTCTGAGCACATTCTTGTTCAAGGTCGAAGTCTGGTCCCACGATCTTAATCTTTACAGCTGCAGAGCTCCCCAGTTCGACTTTAATAACAGTTTCACAAGCTCCCTCTAGGGGAAACAATTTCTATTTGTATCCATCTTTTTTTAAAAAAAGCAGATCTGGCAACAAAGTTTTCCTTTTTCAGATATTTTGTCGATATTTTGTTCCTTTTAAATGCGAAAGGGAACAATGGAGTCAATATGTTTCTGTTCTTTTAACTATCTGTCAAAAACGTTTGTCCATAGTCAATGAGCTTCTCCAAAACATCTGTCTTGACACCCCGCTCCCAGGTTCAAGACGGTGGAAAATTACCTTTCTTTACTCTCTCTTCTGCAGGTTTAAACAGTCTAAAAGAGGTTCCCCCCTCTTCTCCTGCTTCCAAGGGGGTTTCAGTAATTTTAAATGATGAAAATTTAGTCCTTTACAAACGACTTTCTAAACTCTAGCTTGCCGTGTCTTTGCTTCAATCTATCTACAAAAGCGGAAGGCGGACTTCCTGTTTAGACCTTCCCGCTTTCGGTGCCTAATTAAGAAATTTCATAGTCCAATTTTCCGTTCTACTCACGGGCAGTTGTTTAAAATCCAATTGTCCACAGGAAAAGTCAGCGCTCTCCGGCAACAGCAATGCGGCTTCACTCCGTGAAAGAAGCAGTCGATTCAAAGCACCGCGCCACTCACCCTACGTCGCTCCAGATCCCCAAAACAGGGTTTCCCCGCGAGTGGGGGGGGCGCAAAGGTGCCAGCCGAATCCCACGTCCACAGGCTTCTCCCGCCTATGGTTTTTGATGGGTCTCCGCCTCGCCGTGGCGGTTCAGACCCTGTTTTCCACGGAGCGGATTCCTCCCGATCGCCGCCATTGCCAGAGGCGCCAACCCGGAAGTAAAGCTATGGTTTTCCCAGTAGTGATGTATGGAAGTGAGAGCTGGACCATAAAGAAGGCTGATCGCTGAAGAATTGATGCTTTTGACTTATGGTGCTGGAGGAGACTCTTGAGAGTCCCATGGACTGCAAGAAGATCAAACCTATCCATTCTTAAGGAAATCAGCCCTGAGTGCTCACTGGAAGGACAGATCCTGAAGCTGAGGCTCCAATACTTTGGCCACCCTCATGAGAAGAGAAGACTCCCTGGAAAAGACCCTGATGTTGGGAAAGATGGAGGGCACAAGAAGGGGATGACAGAGGACGAGATGGTTGGATAGTGTTCTCGAAGCTACCAGCATGAGTTTGACCAAATTGCGGGAGGCAGTGGAAGACAGGAGTGCCTGGCGTGCTCTGGTCCATGGGGTCACGAAGAGTCGGACACGACTAAACAACAAAATGTTAGATCAACATTGTTATTAATTAACCAATTTAATATCATATTGCTGGGTATAAATCTTTGAAATTATTTTGGCTTATATGTCAAATAATATTAAATAATATTAGGAATTTCTGAAAATATGATAGAGACCCCCAATTTCTGGAGGAAAGTCAACAGGTGCTGATAAACATTTTTAAAAAAATATTTTAAAAAACATTTCCTTCAGTGCATCACTGAGAATTCTGCTATAAAACAAATTTCTGTTAAGTGCAGGGACATCTTTTTCTATCAAGAACTACAAGTTCTATAGTTAACCTACATCTTATATTAAATATTGTATTTTTAAAAAATTCTAAGAATGAGTGTTCTGATATTTGGTAATGCAAATATCAACTCCCAGATTAAAAGCTTATATAAAAGCCAAAAAATACAGGCAATAAGACGCATCAGGTTTAATCACTAAATTATTTTGACAGTATAGGGGCTTACTAGCAACACTTGACATTTTATACTGTATATCAACTCATATGTGAAATGTTATGGAAGAGATGGGGTTGAAAGAAAGAAAAAACAGCATCTATTAGAGCAGCAAAATGCAATAAACTTCACACTCTTATGTTACTGCATGTGAATCCAGTTCACTAGAATAAAAAAATGTGTGTAACTTCTTCTCTGTAATTTGCTGTTTTGATCTGCAAGCTGCCAAAAATTATTCATTCATTTACAATAAAATCACACACAACTACTTGGTAAAGGTGCAGGAACTGCACAGAATGAGAGCTGTGTTGTCTTTTTACTCCATTTTGCATTATAAAACAGGATGTTATGGATTTGTCCCTACTGTAATTTAAATAATCAAACAAAGGGTACATTTCTATGAACAGTTCTTCAGGAGTAAAGGTAAAGGGACCCCTGACAATTAGGTCCAGTCGTGGCCGACTCTGGGGTTGTGGCGCTCATCTCGCTTTATTGGCCGAGGGAGTCGGTGTACAGCTTCCAGGTCATGTGGCCAGCATGACTAAGCCGCTTCTGGCGAACCAGAGCAGTGCACGGAAACGCCATTTACCTTCCCGCTGGAGTGGTACCTATTGATCTACTTGCACTTCGATGTGCTTTCGAACTGCTAGGTTGGCGGGAGCAGGGACCGAGCAACGGGAGCTCACCCCATCACAGGGATTTGAACTGCCAACCTTCTGATCGGCAAGTCCTAGGCTCTGTGGTTTAACCCATAGCGCCACCCGTGTCTTCAGGAGTAAGTCTCATTTAAATCAATCAGACATATCTGTAAAAGAAAATATGGTTAGCATCAGACTCTACAATAAGAAGATGTCTAATTGCTTTATGAAGAAATCAGCTTTACTGCAAAAGTACTGTGCGTATCTGTGTGGGTAAAAAGAATGAGTACTATGGCACAAACATACACCTAGATAAATGTTATATATATCTACACTGGTCACCATGCTTGCATGAGCTCTCACTATTAAGATGACACTGTATGACTCAGTCGGCTTGCCCTGGGTGACAAGTTGACTGGATGAAATAATATTTGACATTTATTACAGATTAGACAGTAATGAAAGTGTAAATTTGACAAGTTCCAAATCCTCAGGCTTGTGGAGTCAGCTCATAAGCAATGGAGATTGCCATTGGCACTTGAAGCTTAGATAATGACAAGTTTTTAAAAAGGAAAGAAAAATTAAAAATGGGAAAGTGTGTCAGGAGACACAACACACTTACTTTTAGAAGAAGTAAGTTATCCTGAAAAGAGTCATCATGATCACCAATAAATAAGTGGAAGATTAGAAAGGTTTGTACTAGTAAGTTATCAGATTTCATTTTAAAACTTTTTAAAACTAAATGAGAATAAAATCTTAACATCCCTAGGACCAATTCATGTGTCTCTGGTCTCACATAGTACCTGCTTCAAA